CGGGAGGTGCAGACACGTCAGAAGTGGCCAAAGTAGGGTCACCAGAATGTCCTCCTTCAAGATGAGAGAAATGTACATCTGGAATGGAAGAGTCAGATGTGGATGGAGGTGTAGTGTCTTCTGGAAATAAGTCCACGGAAGGATTGGTAACGAAATGAACATGAGTAGAGGGGTCGAAGGGATGAATAGAGGAGAACATCTTGTGTTCCCAAAACGTGAAATGACGAGACACACGAAGACGATTGGAAGCGGGATCCCAACATCTATACCCTTTATGCTTAATGCCATATCCAAGGAAGCAGCATACATGGGCACGAGGTTCTAATTTCGTGCGCTCATGTGGATGAAGGTGCACAAAACAGGCACTACCAAAAACACGTAGAAGAGTGTAATTTGGGACACTACCATACAAACGCTCGTAAGGAGAGATGTGACCTATAATAGGTGATGGAGTACGATTTATAGTGTAAACAGCAGTGTGACAAGCTTCCCCCCAAAACCGTTCAGGACAAGAGGCAGAGATGAGCAGAGTGCGTACAACATCTAAGATATGCCTATGCTTACGTTCAGCTCTACCATTTTGTTGAGAGGTGCCAGGGCAAGAGCGATGAATGATAGTACCATTTTGAGAAAGAATCCGAAGAAATTCTGTATCTCTATATTCCATAGCATTATCAGTACGAAAAATCTTAATATCTCGTGAAAATTGGGTTTTAACCATAGCAACGAAATCACGATAAATACGAGAAAGTTCAGAACGATTTTTCATAAGATAAACCCAAGTATACCGAGAATGGTCATCCACAAAAATGACAAAATAGCGAGAGCCACCCATGGTGGGAGTGGGGGAAGGTCCCCATATATCAGAGTGAATGAGATCAAAAGGAGCATGAGACACAGAATCACTAGTCTGAAACGGTAAAGCATGATGTTTTCCCAACTTACAAGGCAGACAGTCAAAATGTTTAGTGTCAACAGAACCTAAATGACCACTCGAAATTAAAGAGCTTAACCTAGAAAAGGAAGCATGACCTAACCTAGAATGCCAAGTTTCAGAGGACACTGTGGCAGCACAAGCAGCAAAAGAGGTCGGAATATTTAGGGAAACAAGCTCAAAGAGACGCCCCGCTTTACAGCCTGTCCCAAGTGTCTGTCCCGTCCGAGGATCCTGCACACGACAACCATGAGAAGAGAAGTGAATATCAAGACCAAGTTCACACAATTGGCCGACAGAGATCAAGTTAAGTGAGAGTTTAGGAACAAGGAATGTGTTAGTTAAAGATAATGTAGATGTGGAAATGTTTCCTGTATGACTAACTCTCATATGTGAATTATCGGCAGTAAGAATATGAGGTGCATGTAAAGTGGAGGATTTAGACTGAAATAAGGCAGAGTTTGATGTCATGTGATTGCAATAAGCAGAATCAAAGAACCAAGAATCAGAAATACCTGGAGTAGTAGACATAGTAGAAGTGCTAGGAATAGGAGGAGTAAAGGTACCAGATTCTCGGAGAATGGTGCGAAGATCCTCTAGAGACACTAGTGTGTGGGACGATCCATGGGAAGAAGCTTCTACAGTGGTAGCATTGGCAGATGGACCGACAGAGGGACCTCGTGAGGGACCTCGGCTACGAGGCTGAGTGGTCGATCCTGTGGATTGCATAGGTCGTAGCCGATAACAATTTGATGCCATATGACCATGTCGGCGACAATGTTTGCAAAATGGACGGCGCATGGAGGAAGAACTCGAAGCGGCAAGTACTGCATCCGTAGGCATGGATATAGGCACAGCAGGACGTTGCGTTTTCAAGGTAGCTAACCGAGTCTCCTCATTCAGTAAATCTGATACAACTGTCTCAATAGAGGGAAAGGGATCTCTATGTAGAATGGAAGCTCTCACAGGTTCAAACTCATCATTTAGAGCCATCAAAAATTGCATGACATGAATACGATCACGATGTTCAGCAACTTTGCGAATGTTACTATCCCCTTCCAAGCGTGGTTCACACAAGGTCAACTGATCCCAAATAGCATGCATAGATGATAGAAAATCATTAATGGACTGACCTTGCTCCTGACGCATGTGATATAAAGTCCCTAACAACCGATATTGATGGGCAACATCTGAACTAGAATAACGACGATCAAGAAGATCCCAAGCTTCCTTGGCTGTATTAAAAAGGTCAAACTGGAGTCGAATAGATGGGATCGAAGTGTTTCGAAACCATGTGAGAATCTGATGATTTCTACTATCCCATTCATCCAAACGATCCACAAATTGATCATCAGTTTCTTCAACAATTCTAGTAGGTTCCCTAATTTGTCCAGTGACATAACGCCAAAGCCGGCGTCCTTTTAAGAAACTTGATATCTCTTGAGACCATAAAATATAATTGGAACCATTCAAAATAGTCTGAATTGGCATTGAGACTTCCATTCTATCCATGAAAGGCACTTTACTACTATAGAATCAACGGAATGTAGTATACTGAGCGCAGATATGGGAAAAATAACACCAAAAACCAGCTCAGGATGTCGGAATACCTCAAGAACCGGTTGGAAAACACCGAAAACCGGTCAGGAAATGGTCAAACCGGCCGAAAAACCGGTCGGTCTGGTCAACGCCGGTCAACGAAAGTCAACGCCGGTCAACGGGAGGTCAACGACCGGTGGCGGTGACGTGGCGGTGACGTCAGCTGGGAGCGTGGGCCAGGCTCGTGTCGGCGTGGGCCAGGCTCATGCCGGCGTGGGCCAGGCGCGTGCCGGGCACGTCCGGCGCGTGCAGGGCTTGTCGGCGCGTGGATCTCACGCGCAAGGCTTGGAGCGGCGCGTGAGGGCGCGTTCGACGGAGGAATGCGGCGAAATTTGACTGGCCGACTCGACTGAGGGCAGCGAGTCGTGGGTTGGTGTTGGTTTTTGGAAAAACACGGCGGAGGATGTCCAAAACACCGGTGAACGGCAGTGGACTTCCTGAGTCGAAGGCGCAGTGGCGCGGGGCGGTGCGTGCGGCGGCGTCCGGCGGCCGTTGATGATGAAATTTCAGGATGTGGGTCGCCTGAGGGCGGCGAGTCTGCTGGTGGTCTCAGTTTTCCGAAATGAGCAGCAGAAGTATGCCGAGCAGATACGAAAAACTTCGGTCTTGTTGGAGAATCGGGACGGCGCGGCCGGTGCGGCTGGCGTCGTGGCGAGCAGAGACGAAAAGACTTCGGTCTTGTCGGAGAACCGGGACGGCGCGGCCGGTGCGGCTGGCGTCGTGGTGGCCACGGGGTGGCAGACTCAATGGGCGCTCCTCAGGTAATAACGGCTCTGATACCAAGTTGAGATGAGTGAAATTTGTGTATATTACTTGCATTGAACTACAAGGCCAAGTCCCTTTATATATAGGGAAAGAATGAACAGTAAACCTAAATGAATGAACAGTAAACCTAAATTACATATTATGTTTAACAGAGAGGACGCAAGTCATGACGATGCCTTCAATGTGCGAGAAGGAGAAAATGTCGCGGATTAGGACGTCTGGTAAAGCCACTAATGAAACCGTCAGGGTTCCTCGCTTCATTTCGGAGGAGGAAAAGAAGGAGAACATTAGCATCGTCTTGTGCAATCCAGTCGTTCGCCGAAGAATTTGTATTATCATGATTTGAACCCAATTGTATTAAGCGAAAGCACATTATGTTCAAATCAGACCGAAACCAATGGTAAAATCTTTGATCCTCTTAGGGTGCGCATAATAACCATTCTGTTTCTCTGTTTTTATATTTTTCTGTTCCTAGAAATAAGTTTAGAACAGAAATCCGTTTGATAACGCAATTTCATTTTTCTATTTTTGAAACAAATTTTTACTCTAAAAATAGGTTTGGAACAGAAATCATAAGTAAAATTTTTTTACTTTTTAATTTCCGAAACAAAAATCAAAAATAAAAACTCTTCTCATCACTTGCCTTTACTACTAGCCGGCCGCCCATCCATCGCCCCCTTGTCACTGCCAATCGCCTCCCACCACCGCCGGCCATCATCCTTTGCCGCCTGCTGGCCATCGTTCGTTGCCGTCCGCCACCGTCCTTTGCCGCCCAACGCCGCCCGCCTCCTGCCGTCGCCTAACACCGGCCACCTCCCACCACCGCCCACCTCCCATCATCACCCAACATCACCCATCTCTCGCCGCCACCCAACATCGCTCACCTCCCACCGCCGCTCACCTACTAACTGCCTCCCGTCGTCATCCTCCGCTACCGGCCGCCTCCCGTCACTATCCTTCGCCACCGGCCGCCATCCTCCTCTGCCGCCCAATGCTAGCCACCTACTGCCTCCCGTCGCCGGCCGCCTTCCGCCACTGCCCGCCGTCCGTTGTCGATCGCCTCCTGCTCGGCGGCCGCTTAGAAGGGAGAAATTTTGTGTCGTTATCAAACACATATTTAGACTCAGAAACTCGTCCATGGAATAGAAATAGAAAAATCTATTTCTTGCTAGAAATTGATTTTTGGACAAAATGGTTATCATTCACGCTCTTAATGTGCTATTCGTTTTTGATTTCATGAACTTACGAGTTCACACAAACATGGCACAGCTCAAACAATAAATTACCATTCTCATATAGAAAATGAACCTCAGAGACACATATTTATTCATAGCAAAAGTTTCAGCTCCTCTATATTAAAAAATATAAGCTATTTCAAATCTTAATGACGGATAATAAAAATTTAAAGCATGTATTGTGGTTTGATCTCGCACTTTTATTTTGATTTTAAAAATGCTGAGCCGAATGTGACCACCAAAAAGGGTTATGTTAAGATTCAAGTTTATCCTCTTTTGGGTCGCAAAGTACTTCGAGTTAATCATTAAAATCAAATTGTAATGATGTCTATGCAGTTACGCACAAATACAAGAGGATTCCCAAAATACATATCATAATGATGTGGACGTTTTCTTAAATCTTCCAAGAGTGCAGATACATGATATAGCCCTAAATTTTCTATTTTGCCTGAAAAAGAAGAAAAGGCTTAGCAATATCTTAACCAAAACACCCTTTCATATGTCCATAATCAAAAACACCTACTATTAACCTCTTTCCTCAGGAGGTTCATATTTACAACTAAACTAAACTGGAAAGAAGTGTAAATTAGGTACATGTTAAAAACCCAATACTGTCATGTAGTTCTTGTAAGTCTACTATCAAAAGAGAGTGAACAAGAATGAGCAGTGTAGTGCTCGTCCAAGTTTAGAAACCCAAATCTTCTTCATATGCTTTTTAAACTTTAAAAGGACACCTCTTCCAAAGAATAATTGAAGATAACTTCAGCATTTTGGGAAGCTCTTTGATAGCTGAGCACATCTAGGTACACACCAAGTAGTTTGGAAAGATCAGCTGCTTCAAGATGTTTTTGTCCACGTTGTGCATGTAAATCAACCTTAATAATCATCTTCTCCAGCACGAGTGCATCACCAAGAAGAAACTTAATCAGGGCGAGCAGATGTTTCGACCCCAAACTCACAGCAAAACCGATGATCTCCACCCTCTTGAGATGTTTCGCCAAACATTGGAAGTTCCCCTTCCATGACAAAAGATCTTCATTAAAACGTTCTGTAGATTCTTCGTCAAGCTTAAACTGAACATGGATACCCCATTTAAGAAAGAAGCTTCACATTAGATGCGGATCCATAGAAAAAACAATTCATTGCCTCACTAAAATTTCAAACAAACAACTTTCATTTGTCCACCTCAGATAATAGTCAGTTTTACTTTATATCGAGTCTTCATCAATTTGAGCTCTTAAACTAGTCTACACAGTAAAACATCTTCTCTTTCTAGGCGTTCATCGCTAATTCATTAGTTCAAGATCCTAACCTTACATGGCAGCAAAAGAATCTCCAGTATAACACTGCAGTTACTTTAGGACATGAACTAAAATAGCTTAAAACGGCCCTAGACAAATGTCGAGTAGACTGACAGTCATGGGCAAATTTCAATTGCTGGAACAAATAAGAGTTTGAGATTGATCATCTTTATGTGCTTCTAAAGTTTAAACTCATTCCAGCAAAGAGGAAGTCAGCACAGGAAGCGAACTGAAAATAATGTAGAAAAGTAACAAACCTTAAATATGCAAGAGCAAGTCAGGTGTATGGCTAATTTTTCCAGGCACTGTGAACTTCGTAGTATGTATGCTATCCTAGGAAGTTCCCATTGACTAACCGGTGCGTGTAGTATTAGATTCTGACATTTTGACAATGGAGATGACACTCCTTCTATCTCCAAAGCGGACAGAACCTTAGCGCGTTGAGCAAGCAAAATAGAAAAATTAATTAGTATTTCTGTTCCTGTTTAACATGAATAAAGAATAACAAAATTACAGTTCATCCAGATAAAAAATATCCTTTGACACTATCTCCCAGTCAGGAAAAGACCGATAAGGATACTACAAGTAGAAATGAACAAGTGAATCTCTTTAAGAATCTATTTACATAAAACTTGCGATACTTGAAGGATCTGAAAATTCTAGTAGTAGGTCACATGAGATAGTGAACCTCCTTATCGACTGAAGTTTCCGAGAAAATCCTTCCATTGCCATTCTAAAATATTGTAAGAATACTCTGTAAGATGATTATGGGACATCAGCCTAGTGTGACGAGAGAGCATTCCAGATAATTGTATTTTTTCTATAAATTAAAAGAGTGAATGGAAAATGTAACCTTTTCAAATAATCTCTTAATGCATTTATCTTGTGCAAATCAAGCATCTAACAATGTTGCGGTGAGTAGCATACATAATAATTAGAAATATCTAGTGGCATTCGTTGTCCTTAATTGAGTGATCCCAGATCCATTTATTTGAAATTAAACAGAGGGAAGAAGCTCCAAGGTTCACCATATGTTCTTACGTAATAACTCGAAACACAAAGTTATGAATCATCCCGTTCACAATGATACCCCAGACGAAAGACTAGAATGCCACAGAGAACTGAGGTCTCTCAACCCGGGGCAACATACAGCACTAAATGGTGCCAATCACGGACACCATTCAACACGAGTACGCCTTATAAAGGGCAAAAATACTGAGCTGGTACCTGCAAACACCAATGGCCAATGGTGATAGTAGAAACTCCGCGCAGCTTCTCAAGAAGTTCCTTTAACAAGTCGCGGCCTATCCCGTCACCAGACACCCAAAAATCTAAGTCGGCTTCCACCAAAGAAGATATGTCGTCAAGTCTGAACATGGAATGAAGACACCAAATCCCTGATACCCGCAGGGACAGCAAATGCGGGGCCCAAATTTTCTCCAAGTCAGAAAACCCGCCGTCGACAAGTATTAACTGTTTCACACTTGTCGAATGTATTATAATGTTCTTCACGCCCCCGCAATAGTTCAACTCAAGGGACTCTAGAACAGGACTTCCCCTGACAATTCCCTCCAGGATATCATCACTCATCTCCGCACATCCTAACAACAAGACCTTGAGACAAGGCCACCTAACAGCAGTACCCAACGAAAGAAAGCAGCTCCAGACCTCCAGGCGCACCAACCGACTCAAGCAGTACAAGAACCGCGGCAGCTTATAAAAGCACTCCTGCTGGGCATCAAGACGTAGGCGGAGATCCTCCACGCGGCGCCCCTCCGCGAAGCGGAGCCAGAGATCGAACTTGGGCCAGTAGGCCTCGTAGTGCTTCGAGATGGTGATGTGGAACCTCTTCACCGCGGGCGAGGTGCACCGGATCAGGACGCTGTCGACGAGGGACGGGAAGTCCGGGTAGTAGGTTTCGAGATCGCGAGGCCGCAGGTCGTCGAAGACGAGGTGGGCGGTGGTGGTCCAGGTGGACTGCCAGCGCTTGGAGAGGACGCCGGTCTTGACGACGTCTTCGAGGGGCAGGAAGGAGAAGATGTGGTGGATCACGGCGTCTGGCAAGTCACTGATGAGATCCCTAGCGCCCATAGGAGGAGGAGGTCGGCTTCTTTTGGCGCGATTCCGAGGGTCGCCGCTGGAGGATTCGAGGCGGATGGCGCCGTGGGCGGAGGTCTCCGCCATGATGAGATCGCTAGGGCTTCTTGGCCGCTGCAAACGAGGAGGAGGTCGGTTTGGTTTGATGCGATTCCGCCGGTCGCCGGAGGATGGCGCGGTGGACGGTGCCGCGGACGGAGGCCTCCGCCGTGGAATCGAAATCCTAGGGTTTCTGCGGTTTTTCCCGCCGAGTTTCCGAAGGTGAAGGCGAAGAACAATGAAAACTTATAGGAGTTTTTTTTTTTCTTTTTCGCTTTCTTTTTATCTTTTTTGTCTTTCGAGTTTTTTATGGAAACATATAATTTGTTTACTTCATAATTCACTGCAAAAACAAATTAGACGATCTCAATATGAACAAAAAAAAAGGATCAAAATTAAACTCGAGTTTAGAGAAAAAAATATTAAGTAATTCACACAAAATTTACGTGATGCCGTAACCCACTCAATATTTCTTTTCTCCTTATAAAAATGCAGGATCGTCAAATACTAGGATAAAATATTTTCTGATTCCTATGTTCCTGACTCTCTTTCCTCTGTCAACTCCGCCACAACCGTTGCCGCTCTTGCCACTCGCCCCCCCTCTACCCCCAAACATACTTTGGAGTCCGGTCACCTTCAACTGAGGCCGGCGATTTTCGACGTGATGTGTTTAAATGGCAACAAAGTGAGCCTGCTCAATCAAAACTTAATCAATACTATGTCGTGAATCGATGAACATGTTTAAACACGTAAATAGACATGAAGTGACGGATTTGAACCTTTCAACGCTTTTATCACGTCCGTAGAAACGTTTAATTAAACAAGTTAACGTTTATTTAGTTAGTGGTATTTGATATTTGTTATGTGATGCTTTCTGCTCTAGAGAATATGTGCCTTTCTCTTCCTTTCTCTTGTTTTTTTTTGGTCAAATTCCTTTTCTTCCTTTCCAATTGGCGTTCATTTGAATTTAAAAAACAAAGAAATTGAGTTGATTTGAGTTCAAATCATATTTGATGCATTTCCATTGAATAAAGCTTGAGCGTATGCATATTTTGGTACCACTAGTTCCTCAATCATTCAAATAATTGACTTTGCGAACAAAATCGATTTGTTCCATCTGGCTTGATTACGATAATTTCACTAACGGATCTTATTCGATAAATTTTCACTCTATCTCAATTTGGATTTTAATGCATTATCAAAAACTGATTTGACCCATCTGCACATTACTCTTCGATCTTTGATAATCGTCTTTATGCAAGAAGAATCATATGATCGCATCACATGGTTTAGTAATTTGGGAAACAGCCACAAAAAATCCCAATTTGTGCCCACTGTGTCAATTTACTTTGAACTTTTTTTGTAACATCAAAAACCCCAATCTATGTCCACCGTGACATATTTATCCTAAACTTTTTCTTATGACATAAAAAAACTCAAAACTTATACTTATGTGACACATTTACCTGTCAAGGTTCCGTCATATGATTTTTCAATCAAAACGACATTATTCTTATTTCACTATGCCGCATGACGCCATGTCAATACCCTTTTTTTTTCCGACATCCATATAGGCAGATTTTTAACGATACTCATTGACAGAACCTTAACAGAGAGTAAAAGTGTCACATGGGTACAAGTTTAAAATTTTTAATAACAGAAAAAATTTTAAGATAAATGTATTACAGTAAGCATAGTTTTGGATTTTTAATAATAAGCACTGTCATCAAATAATAAGCACTAACAGCTATCTCGTCATATAAATAGAGTAGTAATATTAATTCTTATATGATGAGAAGTGCAGACATACCTCACCTTGATACTAGTCTAAAATTGCTTATCGAGTCCATAGTTTTGCACAAATGGAGTTAATTACAAAAGGATCACTAGCAGTTCATCTATACCAGTACTATATCATATATTCCATGACTAAAGTGCATAAGCAAATTCAACCACGTCATCCATCTCCAATAATCCTTTGTTTTTCCTTCCTCAACCTACCCTTTTTTCTTTATTCCTTTTTTAGTATATATGACGAGCTTTTCCCATGCATTTCGTAACCTGATTCTAAATAAAAAAACAAATGAGGAAGCAGCATGATGAACATTTTTTTTTCTTGAAATTAGTTCATAAATTTGCAAATTATATTATTAGATCGATATTAGTTTCACATAGACATGTGTGCGCATGGTGATACTCAGCACAAGAAAGAAAAAAAGAATTGCGTGTCTTGTTCTTGGGATCGATCGTGTAAAATTCAAAGCAATTTTTCCCTGACCCAAAAGGTTAATTTGGCTAGAATAATGACCAATTCGATCTGAAAGAGAAGAAGAGAGAAAATGATGAAAGTTCAGGTCAATGATAAATTTGTCGTGTTCAAGTCGGACTAAATTTGATACGACATAATTATATGGAGACGAGAGACGACCTGAATTGCTAGACGAGAAAGAGAGAGAGAGAGAGAGAGAGAGAGAGAGAGAGAGAGAGAGAGAGAGAGAGAGAGAGTAAAACCAGATAAGGGAAAGAAGAAGAAGAGAAAATGCGGTGAAGAGATAAAGGAAAGTAGAAATAACATACTTTTGGTCCTCCTAATTTGTGCACTGATCACCTCAACATAGCATACCTTTTTTGCGACGACCGAAAAGTCATGATACGAAAGTAACCCAATGACATGCAGGAATTCTGTAATAACTAAGCTCGTAAGAGGTTATACGGGGGCAAATCTTTCTTCCTTGTTCTCAAATCCCATTTCCTCTCCAATGAAGGCTCCGAGAAAGGAAACTAGGGTTGCAATTCATAGGTCATACTCCAAAAAGAGCAAGATGAACAATTCCTTAACATAAACCATTTTTATCAGTTATTATGACTCACAAGGAACATTTTGTTAAGCAAAGAAGTCAGTGTACTAATAACTATGATTATGTCTTTTTACAATTTCTTAACAAAAGCTGTTGGGAGCTCTCATCACCGACAAAATCACAAGATGATCCCTTTCTACATGAAGTGCTTCTCAAGTTCCGACCAAACAAAGCTCATAGAAAAGCAATATCTGTGCACATGGAAATCAAGCAGCTCCCCAAGATCAGCTGCCTCGAAAGATTTTCCCCTGTGAGGTATGTCCATCCTAGCTTTGATGATCATCTTCTCTAGCACAAGTGTTCGTGCTTCAAAGCATGATGATAGACATCGCAATCAACAATTTCAACTCTCTTGATAAGATTTGCTACAAACATGATGCTCCCGTGCCGTTAATCTCATAATTCATCTTCACCGGAGTTATGAACTTGAGGGAATGGATGGGGTGATTTGCTTCTCGATAGAGATGTCGCTGATCCAGAACCTCTTCATCGTGGTTGAGGTGCATGGCCAAAGCCTCCTCTACCAAGGCGGAGAAGGCTTTGATCGTCTTGCAAGTGTAAGCATCTCTGCGCACGAAGCCACCAAAGAAAAGGAGGTAGGTGGCAATGGTCTAGGTGGATAGCCACCGCTTGGAGAGGACGCGGGTCTTGACAGTGTCTTCAATGTGCAAGAGGGATAGATGTGGCGGATTATGGCTTCAGCTAAGGCGCTAATGCAATCGTGAGGATAAAATCGTCGGGGTTCTCACTTTGTTTTGTTTCGAAGGAGATGAAGAAGAATGAGGTTGGCTTTATTTTTGCACGGCTCGATCGTTCGCCAAAGAATTTGCTTTGGATCACGCCATGGGCAGAGCATCCAGCCATGAGTTTTTAGTTCCCAAGTTTATGTGAATTCTACCGACAAAAGAACTTTTGAAGTTGGGGGGTTTTGTAGTCGGATTGAGTGCAAGCAAGTGAAGACGGGATCTATCCATTATTGCGATTTTTTGCACTGTCAAACGATAAGATCAAACAATCAATTGTTAAATCGACAGACAATCACGACAGTCAAAATCAACTATCCATCATCAACCGTATGTCACCCTGCGATAATTGCACTGTGTAAATCCTCACGGCACTCCTAATTTTAAGTTATAGCCGATAGTTGATGTTTGCAACTTCAAGTAACTCTTCCTCTTTAATGATCCAAAAGACATCTTGGATTCCCATTTCAAGGTAAATGGTATTTTGGTATTATACCAGGCCTTTAGGCTTTTTTTTGCAATTTTTCTCTTTCCTATATAGTATAAAAAGACTATCGGGATCATACATGCATAGCCTATAAGGGTCTGTTTAGTAATGTTTCTGTTTTTTTGTTTTTCTGTTTTTTTGTTCCCCGGAACAGAAAAAGAATAGAAATCCGTTTAGTAAAAAAAATCTATTTTTTTGTTTCTGGAACAAAAAAGTGTTCCTGAAATAGATTTGGAACAGAAACAAGAAGCAAAAAAAATCTGCTTCTTATTTCTGAAACAAGAAAAAAGAAACGTTTTTTTTTCTAGAATCCTCCAAAAACAAGAAACAATCCATCGACCGCAACCCCCCCACCGCCGCCTCTCGCCGTCCTTCGCCGCCAGCCTCCCGACCGCTAGCCGCCTCTTGTCGTCAATCACTGTTCTTCGCCGCTCGACGCTTGTCGCCACCCGCCACCGGCCGCCGTCCTCCATCGTTGGCCGTCGTGCTCCATCGCCCGACGCCGGCCGCCACCCGGCGCTGGCCGCCTCCCCCCGCCAACCACCCAACGCCGGCGATCACCCACCACCGGTCGCCGTCCTCCGCCGCCGCCGGCCACCCACCACCGGCCGCCATCCTCCGCCGCCGGCCATTGTGCTCCACCGCCCAACGCCGGCCACCACCCGGCGCTGGCTGCCCTCGGCCGCCGGCCACCTCCCGTCCCTGGCCACCCGACGCCGGCGATCACCCACCATCGGCCGCCATCCTTCGCCACTGGCCGCCGTGCTTCATCGACCGACGATGGCCACCCTCTGCCGCCAGCCACCTCCCGCCACTTCCCCCCGCTGCCGTCACCGCCGCCTGACGCCACCGTGCTCCGCCGCTGACCGCCATGCTCCACTGCCTCCCGCCGCCGCCGACCACCGTCCTCCGCCCCCCACCGCCACCCGCCGTCCTCCGCCGATAGCCTGGAAGGGAGAAACTCGTCCATGGAAT